ACTTTATTTATTTATTCATGAGAGACAGAGAGAGAAAGAGAGAGAAATAGAGAAAGAGAGGCAGAGACACAGGCAAAGGGGAGAAGCAGGCTCTATGCAGGGAGCCTGATGTGGGACTCAATCCCCAGACTCCAGGATCACTCTCTGGCTGAAGGCGGCGCTAAACTGCTGAGCCCTCTAGGGATCCCCAAAACTACCTTTTAAAAGAAAGATTTTATTTATTTACTTGAGAGAGGGAGAGAGAATGAGCATGGGGAGGGGCAGAGAGAAAGGGACAAGCAGGCTCCCCACTGAACAGGGAGCCCAACTCAGGGCTCAATCCCAGGACCCTGAGATCATGACCAGAGCTGAAGTCACTTACCCAACTGAGCCACCCAGGTGCCCCTGAAATTAAAATTACTTAGTGGCTTTTGCAACACATTGTGGGTATTTGTGGGCATTTGCACATTTACATACCCAAATTAATCTTGTCCTTTAAATTCTGGAATAAGTTTTTAAAAAAAAAATCCTGGAAAAAAATAAAATAAAAAATAAAATAAAAAAATTCTGGAATAAGTATATGCTTTTGTTCCAAAGTTGTGCCATTAATTCCAAGTCAGACTGTGAGTCATAGTATCTTATTGTCATATCTCATCTTTTAGCAAAGAAGATTTTACTATCCTGATCATTTAATTCACCAGAATTGGTCCTAGGTAACTTTTAGTCTTTCAAAAAAAATCAAATTTATTTTTAAAGGACATATTTGTTATTGATGTAGTTTTGGAATATAGGTGAGGTTAGGTGGAGTGAGGTCTGGAGCTGACAACCAAGAAAGAATTCTTGAGACATCTTTGGTTCAAAATCGTGGTTTTACTAAAGCAAGGGGACAGTACCCATGGGCAGAAAAAACTGCTGCACTGGGATTGTAAGGGATAGCTAATGTACTTGGAAGTTGGGGGTAAGGGAAAAGGGAGATTTTAAAAAGAATTTTTGTGTGCTAAGGAGGACCTACAAGATATTAGAGGCCTTGCCATTGTAAAGTTGTTTTTCCCCTCTAGTAAGCATTAACATTAAGATAGATGGGATTTTCCTTCTGGAAGTTAGGTTATTGTTAAGAATGCTTTTTTTCTTATAAATCACTAAGGCATTTTGTAAACTGAGGTAGACTCATGTCTAGAGGACTACAATCTCTATAAATTAACTGGTTTTTTTTTAAAGATTTTATTTATTTATTCATGAGAGATATACAGAGAGGCAGAGACACAGGCAGAGGGAGAAGCAGGCTCCCTGTGGGGAGCCTGATGTGGGACTTGATCCCAGGACCCTAGGATCAGGACCTGAGCAGAAGGCAGACACTCAACCACTGAGCTACCCAGGTGCCCCTAACTATTTTTTTTTAAAATTTATTTATGATAGTCACAGAGAGAGAGAGAGAGAGAGAGGCAGAGACACAGGCAGAGGGAGAAGCAGGCTCCATGCACCGGGAGCCTGATGTGGGACTCGATCCCGGGTCTCCAGGATCGCGCCCTGGGCCAAAGGCAGGCGCCAAACTGCTGCGCCACCCAGGGATCCCCTATTTGTTTTTCCTTTCCCTTGGTTTTTAGGGCAGCCAAGAGTGCCTGAGGAATGTCACACTCATCTCCTGGGGGGAGTGGTGTCATTTGTGGGGTGTCAGCTTGTGCTTTGTCCTCAGCTAGGCTTCTTTTCCCTTATTATGATCAGGGATATAGGAAAGAATGTACCAGCTTCTGAAGTCACAAAAAGCTGTTGGGATCGCAAAAAGCTGTTGAGAAATCATAATACTCTTCAATAGCTAAACAACTTCTCAAAGTGATTCCTTTAAAGAGGGTAATACTCAGGACACCTAAGTGGCTCAGTGATTGAGCATCTGCCTTTGGCTCAGGTCCTGATCCGGGAGTCCTGGGATGAAGTCCCACATCGGCTTCCCCATTGGGAGCCTGCTTCTTCCTCTGTCTATGTCTCTGCATCTCTCTCTGTCTCTCATGAATAAATAAATAAAATCTTAAAAAAAAAAAAGATGGTAATACTCAAGGGTATTTTCATTTTGGCATATTTGCTGTTAAAAAAACTAGTAAGGAGGATCCCTGAGGGAGATCCCTGGGTGGCTCAGCAGTTTGGTGCCTGCCTTTGGCCCAGGGCATGATCCTGGAGTCCCGGGATCGAGTCCCATGTCGGGCTCCCTGTGTGGAGCCTGCTTCTTCCTCTCCCTTTGCCTCGTCTCTCTCTCTCTCTCTCTCTCTCTCTCTGTGTCTCTCATGAATAAATAACAATCTTTAAAAAAAGGGGGGGGGGCGATCCCTGGGTGGCTCAGCGGTTTAGCCCCTGCCTTTGGCCCAGGGCATGATCCTGGAATCCCGGGATCGAGTCCCGTGTCGGGCTCCCGGCATGGAGCCTGCTTCTCCCTCCTCCTGTGTCTCTGCCTCTCTCTCTCTCTCTCTCTCTCTCTCTCTCTCTCTCTCTATCATGAATAAATAAATAAATAAATCGTAAAAAAAAAAAAAAAAACAACTAGTAAGGTTGTTTTATGACCACTGTGTTTATGTGCTTGTGTGTGAGACTATTGAGGCTACCTGGGGGAAGGGAGTATTAAACCTTGCACCTCCCAGATATTCTTGATGAATTTAATAACAATTTATAGGTGCAAAGACTTACTAATTGGGAAACCGAATTAGGTGATATATTCATAGATTCATATCAGTAGGAAACCATTTCCCAATCTACATATTGAGATAATTTGGAATACATGGGAAGACTGTGTTAATATCTCTTAAACAGATTATTGCTTTGATGGTAAGTTAGCATACTAAAAACCAAGAACCACAAAGTAAACATATTGAGCCCAATAATGTAAAGTTAAATTCTGGACTTCTATTTTTTTTTTTTAAGATTTTATTTATTTAGGGATCCCTGGGTGGCGCAGCGGTTTAGCGCCTGCCTTTGGCCCAGGGCGCGATCCTGGAGGCCCAGGATCGAATCCCACGTCGGGCTCCCGGTGCATGGAGCCTGCTTCTCCCTCTGCCTATGTCTCTGCCTCTCTCTCTCTCTCTCTCTCTCTCTCTCTCTCTGTGTGTGTGTGTGACTATCATAAATAAATAAAAATTTAAAAAAAGATAATATTAAAGATTTTACTTATTTATTCATGAGAGACACACACACACACAGAGAAGCAGAGACAGAGGCAGAGGGAGAAGCAGGCTCTCTGTGGGGAGCCTGATGTGGAACTCAATCCCAGGACCCCAGGATCATGACCTGAGCTGAAGGCTGACATTCAATCACTGAGCCACCCAGGTGCCTCTAAATTCTGGACTTCTGAATCTTAAAGTAAAATTTTCCAAAAGCCACATTGTCCTTTGCTAATTGCAAATTAAGCAGTTCTTATATTTTTTTGAAATACACTTGTTAGGCAGAATTTTACTTAAATATACAAAGAGGGCAGCCTGGGTGGCTCAGCGGTTTAAGTGCCTACCTTCTGCCCAGGGCATGATCCTGGAGTCCTGGGTTCAAGTCCCCATGTCGGGCTCCCTGCATGGAGCCTGCTCCTTCCTGTGCCTGTGTCTCTGCCTCTCTCTCTCTCTCTCTCTGCGTATATCATGAATAAATAAATAAAATCTTTAAATAATTAATAAACTAACAAACAAACAAAGAGAGGGACACCTGACTGGCTTAGTGGTTGAGTGTCTGCCTTTGGCTCAGGGTGTGATCCTGGTCCCAGGATTGAGTCCCACATTGGGCTCCCTGCATGGAGCCTGCTTCTCCCTCTGTTTATGTCTCTGCCTCTTTCTGTGTCTCTCATGAATAAATAAATAAATTCTTTATATATGTGTGTGTGTGTGTGTGTGTGTGGAGAGAGAGAGAATTCTTTGTTGAAAGGTAAAGCTTTTCCCCCTTTGATATTTGTTTTCTTTAAGTGTAAACAGAAATGGATCTTATATAGTTACCTTTCATCTATTTCCTACATTGTGCCAGATACTGTTAGAGGTTTTCTCTCTTTTTTTCTTTTTTCTTTTTTTTAAGATTTTATTTATTTATTTGAGCAGGGAGGGGCAGAGTGAGAGGGAGAAGCAGACTCTCTGGTGCGCAGCGAGCCCTGCACAGGGCTGGATCCTCCAACCCTGGGATTATGACCGGAGTGGAAGGCAGACACTTAGCCAACGGAACCACCCAAGTGCCCCACTGTTAGAGGTTTTCATTACTTAAATAATTTATTGTCCTCAAAATAATCTTACAAAATAGGCATTTTTAAAAAGTTAATCTCTACACCTAATATGTTGGGCCTGAATTTATGACAGAGATCAAGAGCCACATGTTCTATCAACTGAGCCAGCCAGATGCCCCCCAAATAGGCATTTTTATCCCCGTTTGGCAGAAGAGGAAACAACTTAGAGAGGTCATGTAACTGTCCACTGTCCCAAAGGGAAATTGTGGAGCAAGCATTCAAACCCAGGTTCAACTGACTCCAACATTAATGCTGTCCTCTTGCCCCTGCTATACTAGAATCTTTTATCTTCAGGGAGTTGGTAGGTTTGCCAACATAAAGAGACACTCTGGTTTCTAGGGAATAAGAATAGGTTATCGATTATAGTAAGCTTAAGTACTCTCCAAAAAAGCCATTTAAATTACATAAATTTATAAGAGGCCAGTATATTTTTGGAGATGAAAAAAACCAATGGTTCAATTCAAAGATACCCAGAGGTTTTATTATCGGCCACCATTTTATTTCACTAGGATCTAGGATATTCTTATTGCCACTACCAATATACATAAAGATTTTTAAAGTCTTGACTCGGGGTGCCTGGGTGGCTCAGTAGGTTAAGTGTCTGCCTTCAGCTCAGGGTCATGATCCTAGGGCTCCTTGCTCAGCGGGGAGTCTGCTTCTCCCTCTCCTTCTGCCTGCTGCTTCCCCTGCTTTTGTTCTGTCAAATAAATAAATAAAATCTTACAAAAAAAATCTTGACTCAATACCTTCCATTCCCCAGAAATAAAGTCTGTGTTTTTGTTTTTTAAATAAGGGGTGCTTCACAAATTTGCGTGTCATCCTTGTGCAGGGGCCCTGCTAATCTTTTCTGTATCAGTCCAATTTTAGTGTATGTGCTGCCGAATCAAGCACAAGTCTGTGCTTTCTTAAATACACAGGCCCCAGTTTTCATAATTATATCTGGCAGGATAGTCTCATTTATGCTGTGATAATGAGCAGCTCCAAAAATCTTGGTTGTTTAGTACAATCAAGGTTTATTTCTTGCTCATACAAAATTTGTTGTAGGTCTGGGTGGCTCACCAGGATTTCCCTCCATTCCCTCTTCCTACCCAGTCTTCTATGGTGACCCAGAAACAGTCTACTTCGGAGCCCATGTTTTAGCTCTTCCAGTTCAACCCAAGGCACCTTCCCTATGGCACTGACAGGGCAGCAGAGACTTGAGAATTGCAAACAAATTTACACTGCCACAGCCCAGAAATGATTTGTCACTTTTGCCCACATATTGTTAGTCATAATAGTCACATGACCCTGCCCACTTGCAAGGGCAGCAGAGAAAAATAGTCTGTATATTTGGAAAAAGAGAACAAGATTTTGTTGAAGGCTAATAATACACATAATAAATCTGCATTATTGGTGTCTTATATAGGCCTAGATATAACCATTTGGAAATAGAACCACTTGTTTCAGATAGGTAGCCAGGGACCATAAGGACCCATCTTTCCTCAACATGCTGCTGCTTGGGCTTACCAACGCAAAATACTCAAGAGGCCACACAGACACATGTGAGGGTGTGGTGTAGGGGACAGGAAGAAGGAGGAGGCCCTCAATGAAGAAGGGAAGGAAGGGAGAAATAAACACCACAGGCTTCCTCTTTACTTCCCCTTACCTTCGGCTTTGCAATTATCCTAAATCCTATTCCATTTCTTCTTCTCCCTACCCAAGTCCCCTCCTGCTCTTTAATAAATGCCCAAGAAAGTTGGAATCTGGGACTCCTTTTGAACATAAGATGAATCCTATTATAGTCTATAAATATTGAAAGACTTGCTATTAGTACCTATATGCAAATTTTGTCTGTCACTACACCACAGCAGTATAAGAGAAAAACACAGAGAAGATAATAGGCTCTTAAAAATTACCTATTACCTTTTTGTTTTAGTTAGAATTTAACTAATTGGATGAGACCTGCCCACGGCAAGAAAGGGAATCTTCTTTACTCTGTCTTCAGATTTAAATGTTAATCTCATCCAAAAATACCTTCGTAGAAAAACCCGAATGGTATTTGGCCAAATATTTGAGCAACCCAAGTGGCTTAGTCAAGTTGACATGTTAAATTAAATATCATATCGATTTTCCCATGGTTACAATAAGCAAAATCCCTAAGCAAATCCTAGTTGGTATATGATTAAGACCAGGTGATTGGGGGATCCCTGGGTGGCGCAGCGGTTTGGCGCCTGCCTTTGGCCCAGGGCACGGTCCTGGAGACCCGGGATCGAATCCCACGTCGGGCTCCCGGTGCATGGAGCCTGCTTCTCCCTCTGCCTGTGTCTCTGCCTCTCTCTCTCTCTCTCTCTCTCTCTCTGACTATCATAAAAAAAAAAAAAAAAAAGACCAGGTGATTGGAGAAAGCTTTGAGAATCTGTTCTATTCCACACTACTATATTCCTACCTTCCCAGCACAAAGGTATTAACAGTTGTTAAATGGGTAAATTACTGGCTTAAGAAGAGTAGCTCTTATAAACACTGTAGAGACTGAAGGAGGTAGACCTAAAGACTAAGTAGGACCTCGCTGGGGTTCCTTAATCCCCAGAGCCTCTCACTCCTTTGTCTTCCACTCTGCCTGAGAACTCTATCATCATGTTTATTATTTCAATAGGAAAATGGCCCCTGAGTGCTAAAAAAATGATTTAAATAGTTTGGGAACACAGGTGTTTTTATTATTTTTTATTTTTAAATTTTTTTCCTTTAAAGATTTTATTTATTTATCCATGAGATACACAGAGAGAGGGAGAGAGAAGCAGAGACACAGTCAGAGGGAGAAGCAGACTCCATGCAGGGAGCCTGATGCAGGACTTGATCCTGGGACTTCAAAATCACACCCTGGGCCAAAGTGAGGCGCTAAACCGCTGAGCCACCCAGGGATCCCCAAGAACACAGGTGTTTTTAAATTGGGAGAATGCCTTCTTATATTATTCATGACGGGAGAGGAATGTTACATGTAACAGCATTTTCTAAGAGCCAGAGGTTGCTTAATTTCTACTCCATTTCCCATTGAGAAAGGGAAATTGAAGGACCCTATAAAAGATTGGATTTGTTTTTTTGGCTATCTCTACTCTTTTTTTTTTTTTTTAAGATTTATTTATTAGAGAGAGAGAGAGAGACCGACCATGAGGGGGAGGGTAGAGACACAGAGGGAGAATTCTAATCAGCCTCACATAACACTGTGCCTGAGCTGAAAGCAAGAGTCAGACGTCCAACAGATTGCACCACCCAAGTGCCCCTTGCTGCCTCTATTCTTGCTAGGACCTGCACCCCACCTCACACATGCCTTACTGTATGTCCTCCTTGTAAAGGTCAAGGAGTTAAGGATTACTTTGGAGTCTTCCTGCACAATAGACAGCATCTAAGGTGACTGGGTGAGGTCATCTTCAAAGTTTTTCAAGTTCACTGACTCTCCACACCTTGATGCCAAGACCCCTAGCTCCATGGCATAAGTGACTTATGGAAGACACTTGAGCACTCGTCTTTGTTTTACCCAGTGCCTGCATGGCTGGGAGAATACATACAGCAGAACATTATCCTTAATTTAAAAAAAAAAAAAAAAAAAAGACCTCAAGCAAAGATAGGAGTCTCTCTCCTTTCTTTTCTGAGTCTCCAGAAATTCGATCTGATCTTCTCTATATATATACATAAATCTTCAACAAACTCCGCTCTCACTTCCTCTCCGCTCGTGTTTGATTTCCATCCTTCAGGAAACCTGGCTGGTCCTGCAGTACACCCTCTGGGTCCTCAGACTCAGCCAGCCTGCATCATCATTACCTGATTGTACTGTAGTTCTACAAATGTAGGGGTAAAAATGAGCTAGCACATAAATGTGGCTACCACCTGCCTTCAGCTATGGCTGTGTACCTGATTATTAATATTAACCAGCTCATAAACACATTTAACACCTGTACATGGTAATTGGAGCAGACTCCAATTAATTTGTTTTTTGTTTGTTTTGCCTCCTCAGGTTCAATTCCAGAAAAAAAACAATCTAAAATGGGACCTCTTGAAGATTTTTTTCTTTTGGACAAAAGCAAAATAGGCCTTATAGCATATTATATTTTTCTTAAATGACTATAACATCTCTCATCCCACATGCTCTTCTTACAATATAACTGATACTTTTCTCATTAAGTATAGTCTGTGTCCTTTTTCCATAAATTTTTTTTTTTTTACTGTTTCAACAAATAGTTGAAATGATGCTTTGTGACTTCTGAGAATTAGGCAATTTCTGCGTTTGAAAGAGGAACTACCCTCGTGTTGACTTCAAACTTTCTAAATGAGTTATCTTTTCTAGCTTATTTCTTAACTCAGGCAAAAGACCCTAAGAGCAGAGCATCCAATAGGATCTGCCCTGAGCCAGCATGACCTTGTCTGTGATTGATTTTAAGACAACGATTGACCTGAACTCCACTGTCCACCTGCACAAACATAATGTTCACCTCACTGAAATAAATTCCATTTTTGTTTCATCACCATTCATTTCTCTGCCTTTGGATTTGGTCTGTGGCCAAGTGGCCAAACCTGGTTTGTTCGGGATCCCTGGAGCCAGGTGCTTTTGTACCCCACCACCCAGCTACACCTTGTTGTCTTGGAATTCTCTTGGAGTGCTCACTTTGGGAACATAGCTGCCAGGCAGTGAGGAAGCCAAGTGGCCACATGGAGGGACCACCTATAGGTATTCCAGCTCAGTTCCAGCTGAAGTTCAAACAGCTAGTAGCATTAACTGCCAGATATGTGAAAGAGCAAGCCTTCAGATTTCAGACTCTGGACTTGATTTTTGAGCTGCCCCAGCTGATGTCATGTGGCGCAGACAAGGTGTCCCATTAATCCTTTTTTTCCCCTAAAGGCTTATTTATTTATTCATGAGAGACACACAGGGAGAGACAGACATAGGCAGAAGGAGAAGCAGGCTCCATGCAGGGAGCTCAATGTGGGATTGGATCCTGGGACTCCAGCATCATGCTGTAAGCCAAAGGCAGACGTTTAACCATTGAGCCATCCAGGCATCCCTGTCCCATTGATGTTTGACCAAATTGCGTATCTGTGAGCAAATTAAATGATAGCTGTTGTTTAGGCCACTAAGTTTGCAATGCCCAGATAAGAATAAATAACACTACCATAGACGCTTAACATATATTTATATCATATCTGATCTCATATCAATCTTAAATTCTCCTGTACTCGGTGAAAACTTCACATAGCACACAGCCATAAGAGCCATGCTACTCTCTTCCTGTCCTTGGTCTTATATTTTCACAATGCAATCTATCCTCAAGTCTGGGAATCATAGTGACCTCAGCAGATTCTTTTTTTTTTTTTTTCTTAAAAGATTTTCTTTATTTATTCATGAGAGACAGACAGAGAAAGAGAGAGAGAGGCAGAGACATAGGCAGGGGGAGAAGCAGGCTCCACGCAGGGAGCCTGACGTGGGACTCGATCCTGGGTCTCCAGGATCAGGCCTTGGGCTGACAGCAGCGCTAAACCGCTGACCCAGCCAGGCTGCCCAGATTTTTTTTTTTTTTAAAGATTTTGTTTTTAAGTCATCTCTATGATGTAGTTTTGGAATGTTGGTGAGGTCCAGAGCCAACGGCCAAGAAAGAATTCTTGAGATGTCTTTGGTGCAAAAAGGTGATTTTATTAAAGCAGAAGTGCAGGATCCATGGGCAGAAAGAGTTACTGCACTGGGGCTATGAAGAATGGCTGATTATATACTTGGAAGTTAGGGGAGGTAAGGAAAAAGGAAGGTGTCCAAAAGGACTTTCATATGCTAAAGACTCTCAGGTTATTGGACGCCTGGCTATTGCCAAGCTGCTGTTTTTCCCTCTAGCAAAGTATTAACATTAAGACGGGAGTTTCCTGGAGGAATGTCACACTTATTCCACCAGGGAATTAAGAGTGGGGGTGGTTGTGGGGTGTCAGCTTGTGCTTTGTCCTCAGCTTACCTTCTACCTCATCATCTATACCCAACGTTAGGCTCCAATTTACAACGTCAAGTTGTAATGCTTGCTCCACGTGCTCCATCGACTGTAACAGCCAGGTGTCCCGAGCTAGCTCCTTTTTTTTTTTTTTAGATTATTTATTTATTAGAGAGGAGCAGAGAGAGAGGAACAAGCAGGCTCCTCGCTGAGTGCAGAGCCCAACCTCAGGATCCTGAGATCATGACCTGAGCTGCAACTGAGAGTTGCATGCTCAATCAACTGAGCCACTCAGGCACCCTTCAAGTTAATTCCTGACTCAACTAATCCTATACACTAACACTGTCATCAGGTAGATTCCAAGACCTCACCTTTACTGCTCACCTGCTTGTACCCACCATCCTTGTCCTATAGTTTTCCTCAAGCTCTTCTTCCCAAGTTACCTCTTAACTCAGGCAAAAGACCCTACATGCATAGCATCCTGTGATGAAAACCAAAACTATCCCTCAAGCAATAAAGTTTGAGTTTGAGCTTAACCGTTGACTCATTCCTGTGCAAATGCACCATGACAGGATCCACAGAGTGACCAACAGTTACCCTTACCTCATTATAATACTAAACCAGTGAGGAGCAGAAGCCTTGTTACATAACATACAAAGTATGCATAGGTGTGTTTACTTAAAGTGCTTGCCAGATCTTACACCCACTGCTCTCTTATCTAAATATTCATCATAACCCTAGATAAAAGGAACCATTCTTCCTTGCTCCAGGAGTCCTGGCTTTGGAAGTTAGTTATTCCCCATGATTTCCTAATTTGCTGCAAATACGTTTCCGTTGTGTGGCAACTCACTTGGTGTAGTTCCTATCTGTGACTCACCAAGGAGCTAACTCAGGTTAGTTATAGTATCAATTTAGGGGCTGTAGAAAATTTACCGGTATCTTTTCAGAATTAAAAAAACGAGAGTTTTCTTGCTTTTTCTTTTTTCTTCCTTTAAAGATTTTATTTATTTATTCATGAGAGACACAGAGAGAGAGGCAGAAACATAAGCAGAGGAAGGAGTAGGCTCCATGCAGGGAGCTCTATGCAGAAGTCCCGGGACTCCAGGATCATGCCCTGAGCCAAAGGCAGACACTCAACCACTGAGCAACCCAGGTGCTCCAAGTTTTCTTGCTTTATTAAAATCTTTCCATCTACAAAAGTGACTCTATCCTACATCTTTATCCCAACTCTTAGCAGTTTTGAATAGAGAGTGACAGGTAAAGACGTATTTTTACAACTGCTACTAAACAACTCATTTACACATTCTTCCTTACCCTTTCCTAAAGGAATGTGCTGGATGTTGCTGAATGACTATTACATTTTGTTTTGTAATGATTATAGTGCAAGGGGGCTTGAAGAACATGTTTGGACTCTAAGAACTAATTTTAATACTCGATACTGGAAATGGCTTTAAAAAATTCAATTGATCAGTAATTTTAATGTGGGAAACAAAGGCAGAAAGAAATGTAGATAAATATTAAATGTCCTTATAACCTGCAGCCCATTGACAAATCCTTGAGGCAGGAGAGTATAACATTCCTTTTATTTTTTTTTTTAAGATTTTATTTATTTATTTATTCATGAGAGACACAGAGAGGCAGAGACACAGACAGGGAGCAGGCTCCATGCAGAGAGCTCGACATGGGACTCGATCCCAGGTCTCCAGGATCACACTCAGGCTGCAGGTGGCGCTAAGCCGCTGCGCCACCCGGGCCGCCCGAGTATAACATTCCTTAACGCTGACGGCATGCTAAAGAGAAAAACAACTTTGGTTTGACTGTAGCAAGGCCTTTGTATTGTGTGAGTCTTCTTTAGCGTAAGAAAATCCTTTTGGGGGATCCCTGGGTGGCGCAGCGGTTTGGCGCCTGCCTTTGGCCCAGGGCGTGATCCTGGAGACCCGGGATCAAATCCCACGTCGGGCTCCCGGTGCATGGAGCCTGCTTGTGTCTCTGCCTGTCTCTCTCTCTGTATGTCTATCATAAAAATTAAAAAAAAAAAAAAAAAGTTCTGAGAAAGAATCAGAACTTTAAAAAAAAAAAAAAGAAAATCCTTTTGGAACTTCCGTTTACTTCCCCCCACCACAAAGCCCTAGATGAGTTGCTCCTCATAATCTGGGGCCAGCAGCCCACAGGCCCTGTTTCCATGCTTTAGCAAAACCACCTTTTTGCACCAAAGACCTCTTAAAAATTCTTTCTTGGCCGTGGGCTCTGGATCCCAACATCACCAACATTCCAAAACTACATTTGTGCCTCTCCTCTTTTTAAGGCCTCTGAAATGTTTAAAATAACTGCTTACATGGAGGATTATTACCCGCAGATATAATTATGAGAACCCAATCATGTGCAAGCCACGGAGGACTTTTTTGGTCTTTAAAAACTTCCTGTCTCGTACAGTGAAATGAAGCAGGATCAGCCTTGTGATCATCAAGAAGTTCGGTAATTATTTTTTTAAAGTAATCTCCGCAACCAACATGGGGCTGAAACTGACAACCCCAAGATCCAAGAGTTCCATGCTTTGCTGACTGAGCCAGCCAGGTGCCCCAAGAAATTCTGTGATTCTAATCAATAAAGTCAGTAATTTGGGACCTAATGCTATCAGTCAGTATGTTAAAGCTCTCTATCAAGTCCTTCACCAATTAGAAGAAACCAGTTTCCATAGCTTCAAAACAGCAAATCTTTAGTCGTCTTTTCCTATCTCGTTTCTCCTTTTCTCCAGAAGTACACACTCACTCGGCTTTACTACTCAGCTACTCTTACTTTTACCATTTCTTTCTTTCTTTTTTTCTAAGATTCATTTATTTATTCATGAGAGACACAGAGAGAGGGGCAGAGATATGCAGAGGGAGAAGCAGGCTCTTCGCAGCGAGCGGCCCCACGTGGGACTCGACCCAGAATCCCGGGATCACGACCTGAGCCGAAGGCAGACGCTCAACCGCTGAGCCGCCCAGGAGTCCCATTTTTACCATTTCTTGGTCACTTGGTTATCCCAGCTTCCCGACTTTTTGCATCGGCTCGCAGGAAGTAGTAGCTCCCTCTCCAACTATTCTTTCCTTGGATTCCACCAGACTTGGGCTATACTGTATATACCTTTATAGATAGGAGACTCATGGAGCACCTGGTGGCTCAGTGGGTCAAACATCGGCCTTCAGCTCAGGTCATGATCCCGGGGTCCTAGGATGGAGTCCCGCCCCAGGCTCCCTGCTCAGCGGGGAGTCCGCTTCTCCCTCTACCTGCCGCTTCCTCTTTATCAAATACGTAAAATCTTAAAAAAAAAAAAAAAAAAGATACTCCGTAAAAACATCCAGGGGACCATGCACCAGCGTCGTAAATGTTATCTTTCATCTTCAGCTACACCCAAGGCGTCACTGAGGAGCCTAAGACTGGGAGCCCCGCGCAGGTGACAGCGCCGTGGAATTACAAGCCTTTCAGGCAGCCTCTCTCTGCTGAAGAAATAAGGGGCAGTAACCACAGGAACAAATACAGTGAAACCCAGGAAGCACCTTGCACACATCCACTGCCGCCAAACCAGGATCCTCGGCGCCTCCCACGCTCCAGCCGAGAAAGGCACGCCCAGAAGGGCCAAAATGGCGCCCTCCCCGCGGCCCCCTCGGCGTGAGGGGCGGAGCCGCGCGCGTCACGTGACCGCCCCCCCCCCAGCGGGCAGCGCGCCCTCCCCTGCCCCTGGAGCGCGCCGGGAGTCGGCCGGTGCGCAGACCGTGCCCTGCCCCTCCGGGGGCGTCCTCCCCTGTCTCGGCGCGTCCGCCAGCATCGCTCCTGCCGGCCAGGGCGGGAGCAGGGCCAGGAAAGCGGGCGCTTGGCCGTGCAGAGGCAAAGGGGCTGCAGAACGGGGTCCCTGCCGCTGACACCGGGGCGGGAGGTCGGAGCCCCGGACGAGGGGCTGGGCGGGAGTAGACCGCGCCGGCGTCCTGGGGGACGGCCGGGCGCAGAGGGCGAGGCTGTTGCGGAGACTCAGGGCATCCCGACCAAGCTGTGGGTGCCGTCGGGGACGCCGGGGTCCCCTCGGAGCCCCGGTCGCTTGGCTCGGGCATCTCACAGGCTTCGCAGCGCCATCCAGCCCCTCGAAGCCGCGGGATTGGCCAGACGTTCCCCTCGGGGGGTGGACGGCGAAGAGGCTGAGGGCGGCGGGAGCGGGGCGCGCCCTCCGTGACTATCCGGTGCCTCCGGCGATTCCATCTCTGCGGAGTGGGCTTGGCGGCGCTGACCGGCCGGGAGGAGGGTCGGACGCGGCGCGGCGGCTCTGCCCGTGCAGCCTCCATGTGGCTGCTGACGGGGACCCCGGTGGGAACCGGCCCGGGGCGCAGCCTCGCGCCCCTCGCTCCTCGCCTGCTCGGCGCCGGGGCAGGCGATGTGGAGACGTGAGGGGCCCCGCGGTGCCCCGGCTTCTCCAGGACTCCAGCAGGCGCCCGCGCGTTCCACCGCAGCCGGCGCGGGAGCGACCGAGGCGGGGCTCGGCGGTGGGCGGGCGGACGGGCGGGCGACCCGCGGAGCCGGAGCCCCTGCCTCGCCATGGGGCACAACGGCAGCTGGGTCTCCCGGAACGCCAGCGAGCCGCGCAACGCGTCGGGCGCGGAGGCTGCGGGCGCCAACCGCAGCGCGCTCGGGGAGTTCGGCGAGGCGCAGCTGTACCGCCAGTTCACCACCACCGTGCAGGTCGTCATCTTCGTAGGCTCGCTGCTCGGTAAGCCGCCCGAGGGGGCGCCTCCCGGGTGCGCTTCCCCGGGCGCCCCGGCTCGGAGGGGGCTTGGGCTCGGGGGCCCCGGGGCCCCGGGGCCGCCGTGGGTTTCGGTGGCGTCGCCTGGCAGGCTGGAGATAGCGGGGCTTAAGGATGCCGAGGTAACTGCAGGGAAGTTCAGCCAGGAAGGTCCACTCCAGCTCCTGAGCTGGAAGCAGAAGACTTCTGGCGGCGGCTTGTCCGGCCCGAGGACCGCGCCTGGTCCCGGAGGAGGTCCGCGCCCCGGCGGCCCCGCGGAGCGCTTCGGGATGGGGTCGTGCCCCCCCCACCCCACCCCCGTTCCACGCCCCTGGAGCGCCGGGGCGGGGCGCTGGGCCCGCTCCTGTTGACACACAGCGAGGACCAGAGTCCGTTTTGTTACTGATGGCTGTTGTGTTCTGCCCTCCCATCTAGTCCGTATATACACAGTTATTTTCAAAGAGCCTTATTTTGCGCGTATTTTATGGCTTGCTTCTTCGGACCACCAACCTGCTTGCTGGTAAACCATCCTGTGGAGTTGAACGCTCTGTTGCCATCTGATATTTTTAGAAAGCCCCAACAAAACAATAATCTACAGCCTATTTCTCTACCTGTGTTGTGTTCGAAGTACAAAAATGTACGGACTTAGGCATACTTGTTCAAAGAACTGAGGTGAGCGTTTAGTAAAAATCCACTGGCCTGAAAATCACCTGTGCTTCCGGTAGGTACCCTTTAAATGATAAATGATGACGGCACTCATCTCTGTTGAGGTTAGTTGAACACGTTACATATTACTTGTAAATACGTGACTTCCCTTCAAATGTAAATTTTCTGGTGTGGCGTTTAAGTAAATGTAAAAAGGTGGGATTCTTGTGTGATGTTGTGGTCAAGAGCAGTCTTAAAGGGGACACCTGGGTGGCTCAGTTGGTTAAGCGTCTGCCTTCAGCTCAGGTCTTGGTCCCAGGAGCTGGTCTCAGGCTCCTCTCTGAGTGGGAAGTGGGCTCCTCCCTCTCCCTCTGCCCCTTCCCCTGGTAGTGCGCATTCTCTCTCTCTCTCTCTCTCTCTCTCTCTCTCTCTCTCTCTCATAAATGAATAGTCTTTTCTCAAAAAAAAAAAAAGAGCAGTCTTAAAATTTCAAAGTAGGAATAGATTTTTTTACAGATACATGTGAATTTTCACGGAAATCAAGGTAAATGACATCAAAAAGACTGGAAAGGGGCTATCATGAAACTTGTTACCTCTAGGCTCCCCACTTCATAAATTGCCTGTCCCCCTCATCTGTGCTTGTCATCATTGGAGGCATTACGGAGATTTTTGTAAATGAACTTGTTCTTATTTAAAGAGAATGAGCATTGTGGACAATAGCCAACAAATGATCTTTCCTCACCAGTGGTCTATATTATGACATTGATGACCTACATAGAGGTTCATCTTGTCTGTGGCCTGATCCCTCGAGGTGTGGTTATTGAAGTATTCGTCTGAAAGGAAATGTGGGGAACTGTTACTGAATTGATCTGACAGATGATATATATATAAACACTATTTTTGCTCATGATTTTATTTTAAAAGATTTTATTTATTTGAGAGAGAGAGAGAGAGAGCAGGTGCAGGAGCAGGAGGGAGAGGCAGAAGAGGCTCCCTGCTGAGCCGTGGGGCTTGATCCCAGGACCCTGGGATCCTGACCTGAACCCAAGGCAGATGCTTAATCTAAGCCTGAGTCACCTAGGCATCCCTGCTCATGATTGTGTAAAGTCTTTCCACAAAACCACACTCGGCACCAACAATGTTTCTGGAACTTGTTTGACAGAGAAATACATTTGTGTTTTTGAAAGTAGTTGAGATTAACCAGATAATAGCTGGCTAATTCTTGGAGTTCCTTGGTTAAATGTTTGATAGAAACAGTGCTAATGCTAGTTTGTGCCTATGAGTCATAATTATACAGGATGATTTTTAGTTAAAAATGGCTAATTATAGGGATTCCTGGGTGGCTCATCAGGTTTAGCACCTGCCTTCGGCCCAAGGCATAATCCTGGGGTCCTGGAATCGAGTCCCGCATCGGGCTCCATGCATGGAGCCTGTTTCTCCCTCTGCCTGTGTCTCTACCTCTTTCTCTCTGTGTGTCTCTCATGAATAAAAAAAAAAAAAAGGCTAATTATAGCCATTAATAATGTAGTATCAACAATCTTATTTTACCTGCTTTTTGGTATACCTGGAAACCTAAGTAGACTAAATCAAGAATATGATGTCTTGGATTGATCTAAGAAATTTGAAATAGTGAGGTTAATAGTTATCAGCCTGTTCTGATAACTCTTCTAATGTACTGACTCAAATTCTCTCTCCTGTTGTCTTTGATTTCCATGTAATGTATGCATTCCCCTCATTCTTTTATAATGTAGTATGTTAGGTGTAGGAAATCAATTTGACTTCCATCTGAATGAAATATTTCTGTTAACACTATGCTTTTCCTTACTAGTCCTTAATGTACAGTTTCCACTTTTTTTTTTTAAATATTTTATTTCTTTATTTGTCAGAGAAAGCACAAGCAGGAGGAGCTGCAAGCAGACGGAGAAGCAGGCTCCCTGCTGAGCAAAAGCCTGATGCTGGACTCTGTCCCAGGACCCTGGATCATGACCTGAGCCACACAGGCATCCTTACCCTTCTACTTTTTAATTCCTTCTGGAAATTAAATTCTACCGTAAAAGCTTAAAATAGTAGCTTTATTGAGATAAAAATCCTGTACTACCCAATTCGTCCAATTATATAATTCAGTGATTTTAAGTATATTCACAGCTAAGCAATGATTACCACTATCAAACTCTAGAACTTTTTTATCACCCCAAAAAGAAACCATGTACCCATTAGTAGTTGTTTCCCATTTCCCTCCAATACCCTGACAAATAAACTGGAAACAGACTTTCTCAGAGGCATAAAGATGAATGAGCCCTAGGCAACTACTAATAATCTATCTACTTTCTGTGTCAGTGGATTTATCCTGGACGTTTCATATGTATGGAATCATACAATATGTGGTTCTTTGTAATTGTCTTGTTTTACTTAGTATAATGTTTCAAAGTTCATCTGTGTTGTGGAATATTTTTTATGCCTTTTCTATTAATAATATTCTATTTTACGGGTGTATCACCTTTTCTTTATTCATCAGTTGATGGACACAAGTTGTTTTCACTTTTTGGGTGTAATGAGTAATGCTACTCTGAACATTTGTATAATTTTTGTGTGGACATAATGCTTTTAATTTCTTGGGGGTATATAGCAAGAGTGAAATTTCTGGATCATTTAGTAACTCTTAAGTTTATTCTTTAAGGAATTGCGAGACTACTTTCCAAAATGGCTGCATCATTTTACATTCCCACCAGCAATGTACGAAGGTTCTAATTTCTCTGCATCTTTGCCAACATTTGTTCCTTATTTTTTTGATTATAGTCGTGCTGTAGTGGGCATTAAGTGGTATTTCATTATGGTTTTGATTTGCATTTTTTTTTTAAGATTTTATTTATTTATTCATAGAGACAGAGAGAGGCAGAGACACAGGCAGAGGGAGAAGCAGGCATCATACAGAGAGCCTGATGTGGGACTTGATCCAGGGTCTCCAGGATCACGCCCCGGGCTGCAGGCGGCGCTAAACCGCTGTGCCACCGGGGCTGCCCTGTTTTGCATTTTTAAAATATTTTATTTATTTGAGAGAGAGGGAGAAGCAGGCTCCATGCTAAGCAAAGAACCTGATGTGGAGCTTGATCCCAGGATCCTGGGATCATGACCTGAGCTGAAGGCAGATGCTTAACCGACTGAGCCACCCAGGTACTCCAAGTTGTAAGCATTCTTTATGTATTCTGGGCACTAGATTCTTTTTTTTTTTTTTTAAAGATTTTATTTATTTATTTATTCATGAGAGACACACACAGAGAGAGAGACAGTCAGAGACAGGCAGAGGGAGAAGCAGACTCCATGCAGGGAGCCTGATGTGGGACTCGATCCTGGGACCACGGGATCATGCCCCGAGTCAAAGGCTGACCACTGAGCCACCTGGGTGTCCCACATTAATCTTGTTTTTAACAGGAATTGCTGTCATCTAAAAAAAACCCTAAGGCCAGAAACATTTATGACAATTTCACCTTTACAAATGACCCAACAGCAATGAGCCCATTGGGGCAAGAAGACAAATTTAAATTTCAATCCATTGTTTTGTTTTTCTTTAATTTTTTTAAAAGATTTTATTTATTTATTCATGATAGAGAGAGAGAGAGAGAGAGGCAGAGACACAGGCAGAGGGAGAAGCAGGATCCATACAGGGAGCCTGACGTGGGATTCGATCCCGGGTCTCCAGGATCGCGCCCTGGGCCAAAGGCAGGCGCCAAACTGCTGCGCCACCCAGGGATCCCTGTTTTTCTTTAATTTTTAAATTTCTTTTAATCCTTTTTTTTTAATCCCTATACCCAGCATGGGGCTTAAACTCCTGACCCCAAGATGTAGAATCATATGCTCTCCTGACGGAGCCAGCCAGGTGCCCCTGTTTTATTTTTGCTTTACCTGGTCCTATTTTACTCTGGGCCTTAGTGTTTGGTCTTGTGCTATTGAAATACAGAATTCCTTTGCTTACAATTAGAAATGTAACCTTTGCAAGGAGCCCCTTCCCAATCAGAGCAGTATTTACATGGTATTAAAATCTTGTATATGTTGATAGTTAAGGTTATAGTAGTAGAACTTCTTGATGCTGGGATACAAAGCAACTAATTTATTGTATGGAATTATCATTTTTAGTTCTTTTTTTTTTTTAAGGTTCCCAGTGCTTGGCTCCAAATATCCATGGTTCAGCTAGAAATACTCTGTTTATTGGGTGAGATTTTGTAGAGTGGGAGGAAATTTGTCTCAAAACAGGAACAAGTTGACATGGCTCTGTTTTTCCTCTGGGATGCCCAGAGTCTGAGAAAGTATCTCTTCTATTGAGTTTGCCCAAGAGTTTCTCTAGTAGT